AGGCATTGTTGTCAATAGCCCGGAAGATCTGTGGCTACTTCAGCTGCTTCTAGTCAGCAAGGTGCACACTAGGAAGCTGCAAGCCTGAGTTATCTGCAGACCTAATTTAGTCTCTCTGCCCTGCAATAGAGAAGGGCTACTAGGATGATCTGAGGAATGGAAAACCTGTCTTATGAAAGGAGAATCAAAGAGCTCAGCTTGTTTAGCCTAACCAAAAGAAGGCTGAGGGGAGATATGATTGCTCTCTATAAATATATCAGAGGGATAAATACCAGGGAGGGAGAGGAATTATTTAAGCTCAGTACCAATGTGGACACAAGAACTATCCATCAGGAAGTTTAGACTTGAAATTAGATGAAGGTTTCTAACGATCAGAGGAGTGAAGTTCTGGAACTGCCTTCCAAGGGGAGCAGTGGGGGCAAAAGACATATCTGGCTTCAAGATTAAGTTTGATAAGTTTATGGAGGGGATGGTATGATGGGATAGCCTAATTTTGGCAATTAATTGATCTTTGACTATTAGCGGTAAATATGCCTAATGGCCTGTGATGGGATGTTAGATGGGGTGGGATCTGAGTTACTACAGAGAATTCTTTCCTGGGTGTCCGGCTGGTGAGTCTTGCCCACATGCTCAGGGTTTAGCTGATCGCCATATTTGGGGTCGGGAAGGAATTTTCCTCCAGGGCAGATTGGCAGAGGCCCTGGGGTTTTTTCGCCTTCCTCTGCAGCGTGGGGCATGGGTCACTTGCTGGAGGATTCTCTGCACCTTGAAGTCTTTAAACCGTGATTTGAGGACTTCAATGGCTCTGACATAGGTTAGGGGTTTGTTGCGGGAGTGGATGGGTGAGATTCTGTGGCCTGCGTTGTGCAGGAAATCAGACTAGACGATCATAATGGTCCCTTCTGACTTAAAGTCTATGACTCTAACCAGATGGAGCTGGAGGTGGTGACCAGATGGAACTCCACCTCTTACAGGCTGAAGTACCTGTATGAGCAGAGAGCAGCAGTGCAAACATGGTACATTCGTAGCTCCACACACACGCAGCCCAGCCGCTACTTGTCACCCTCCCACTGGGTGCTCATGAAGAAACTAACTGACATCCAACAACACTGATGAGGCCACAAAGCCGGTCACCAATGATGATGTGGGGATCAGTCAAGTAATTCCCTCACTGCTTGCTGGAGATAAAATTAACGCACATGAAGAACCTCTTCCATTAACAGAGTGACAGTGCTGGAAAGTCGCTAGTTGGAGTCATGCTGTCTGCTCTTTTGAAAAATTGTCGTCTCCAAGGCAGCAGGTAGAAGGAGTGCTACTTGGTGTCAATATATTTAGTTACCCATTTCAAAAGTATCCTGGCTTCCTTCATCTCAGGCAACAGGGAGGCAGACATACTGTGCTTGAAAAATCAACTCTGAGGCATTGCCATGGCCCTCAAGATGTGGGCAGCAGCATCTTCACCACTAGAAGTCAACAGTACAGCAAATACTACAGCAGGAGACTAGTACTTCCATGAGTATACAGGGAGAGAGCAATACACCCGTTTGTGACAGTGTGGAGGATTTTGTTCCGGTTGACACTGCCTCCTCCGCTCTTGGAGAGGAGTACACTGCTACTGTGGTGCAGAGGGCATTGGCAGGATATGCCAAGATATCAGACTAGTGCCCACTAACTCAGACCCTCTTCATTATTGGCAGCTGAATGTGTGGACAGCATTTCATCTCTTGGCTGTGTGTCTCCCACTTTTCTTGCCCACCATCAAGCATGTGCTCAGAGCAGTTCTTTAGCACAGCAGTCGCTGTAGTCTCCAAGAGGTGTACATCTGTCTGCAGGGAACGGGAAGAGGCTTTCATTCATCCACATGAATAGACATCAGTTTCCCCAGGAACATCCCGCATGGAACATGTCAGCAGCAGCCTGATGGAAAACCCTGAAGCGATGGTGGGGGAGGAAGAGGAGGACTGCTGAGGGGATTTTCATGTACTTGTCCCCTTATTGCTCTCCAGACTCAGCCTCTTCCTTTCTGAAATTTTGCAAGTGGAGGAACGTCTGTCAGAGTCCACCTTGGAGTGCACAGAATGGATTCCTAACACCACCACACAGTCAGGCACCAGTCCCAGTACCTTTCTTATGGATTGACTATAATTTGCTTTAATTATTGCACTGGAGAGCCTCAGACAGAGGGAGACAGACCAACCTGCCAGCTGTGAAGTTACTGGCACAAGAGACAGACCACTGTATTAAGTGTCTTAGAGCACTGTGCTTATGGATAACCCGATGAATCTCTCTGGCCCTCTCTCCCTCTGTCAAATCTTTACTTTTGCCAGTTCAATGTTGTGATGGAAAGTTCAGGGTTGCTGGCTTCAGGATGGGGCCCTGGGTGCACCCTCCAGCACCTTTGAGTGCCTCTTGTGGATGTGGCACCACAGGGTGTTAGTCTCAGAGTCTCTCCTGGCTACATGACAGTGGGGAGGGAGCTTTTTCACAGTGGTGGTAGGAAGCCTCATCTGGCTCCTGCCCTAGCAAGAAGGTACATCTGCTACCACCTCTATGCACCATCACCCCCACCTGCTCCCCATAATCTCCTTTCCGAGTCCTAGGGGATTTTATTTTTTCATTTATTTTGGTCTATGTGTCACTGACCCACCCTCCTCTCACCCTGACTAGTTGACATTGAGCTCTGTCCCACTGATAACTGAATTCAGAATGGTCACTATTGGACTTGCTCTTCTGAGTTGAAAGAAAAGTGCAGCCTGACTCCCAAGCCAGCTGTTAGACCTCTCGAGCCTCTTCCTCCGGTTGCAGAATTGCTTCTAGACAACTTCCAGTGACAGGACTACAACAGGACTCTTCCTCTGCATTATGGAAACCCTCTGGGATCCCCCACAAGTTAACAAGCCTGGAAACTGCCTCCTTCAGACTCAGAACACTTCCTGGAGCAACAAGCACATCATCTCTGTATCAGCTGCAGAAAACCTCCTAGGATTCCCCTAGCATCAATCATTGTATTCTGCAAATACAATGGGTACAGCGAGTTACGTGTTTAACATACCCAAAGTTGATGTCATCATTTTTATTGCAGTATCACCTAAGACCCTACTATGCTCGACATTGTAGAAACACGCAAGATGATACCATCCCTGCCCTGACGAGCATACAATCTAATATGAAATAAGACAACCAGTGAGTGAGAGGTAGGGGAACGACAAGCATAAAGATCATCATCACGTTGATTAGCTATGCACACCACTATATGGCTCTGAATCATTTGCAAGTTGTTTTACAAGTATAGGTAACAGCCATCCCTGATGACTGCTCACTATAGCCATCATTAGGTTGTTGATTTCTTATAGGCATCTCCGAGTAGGTCTTAAGGAGAAGAGTGTAGTGGCTTTTCAGATTAGGTGAGGGAGGGCATTCAGTGAGTAAAGAGCAGCAAGGCAGAAATTGTGCAGCTGATCATGGAAGACACCCATAAATGAGTTTTCCAGGCTGGCATCAGTGGCAGAGGGAAGCACGTGTGTGTGAAAGTAAGACTGTGAGATTGATAGTTATATTGGCCTGATCAGCTCCCACTGCAGTCAATGCGAATCTCACCATTGACTTCAGCGGGAGCTGGATCAAGCCCTGAGGGACAAGAGCAGGTAAGATAAGGATGAGGCAGAGTGTGAAGGGGCTTGAAGTATTGCAAAGTATTATCACTGTGGCCAACTTAATGCTGCTGTGGGAAAAATTAACATTTGCATTTCCTGACCGGAGTGTGTCTAAATTCTAGAATGAAAATTACTCTGGTCCCAGACCCCAGTCCTAGACCAGTGCCAAAAAAAGAAGCTAGATCATGGGAGCAGTAATAAAATATTAAGGTCTGATACATCGTGAACAATCAGGGCTAGAAACACATACCTTATACCACTAGAAAGTTGGGATTCTCATATTTCCACTGCTATACTGGTATACACCATTCATTTCTAGCCCTGCCGGTTGCTAAGCTCTAAGGTACTATTATCCCTTACTGACCTGTAAAAGAACAAAAAGGAAAAGACAGGCACACACAGGCTTGGCTATTTCTTCCTTCCAGTTCTATTTACTCTGGAAGGAAACCCATAGGCTATACCTTTTCTGTACTGTCAACTGGGTCAATTCTTCCTCTACTGCCCAGGCATGTACAGGATGTATGGCTCCTTCTCTTCCACTTCTTTTAATCGTATCATACAACTCCCCAACTTTTTCTTAATTCACTTCAATTCTGACATAAATTCAGGAGCAGATACAGCATGCACTGTCAGGGAAAGAGAGGAACGCTTTCTAACATTTGCAAGATGGTATTCTTAGCTGCTTTCGGGTGATAAAAGGCATTGGCTTCTAGCTCTAGCTGTTCTCAAGATAGTGGTTGCTATTATCATGTCAGAATTGAAGCAGGGGGTAAAAGCAAGATGGCAATCAGAATAATGCTCCAATATCTAGCAACCTACCAGGGCTAGAAACACTTTGGGAGATCAATAAAAAGATTTTGGGGGACACTAAATGTTTCTTAGCACTGGTTGTGGACGGTTGATCAAATTTAGAAAAAAAACCAACAGTATTCTTAACCTTAATATTACATTACTGCATATTTTGCATTTATTAGTTTACAGATTTTACATTTAGCAGGTGTTTTATTACAAAGATATTTTATTTAGCTTTCACCATTCTATATAGGGAATTGCATTTATACAATAATTTAGTATGTGATTTCAGATATAAAATAGCTGCTTTGGAACATCTTTCTGTTTAAAACCTTTTCTTTGCACCATCTAACTTTTGTGAAAATTACCTGGTTCTTTCCTCTTCTCCCCCCTCATCCTTCCCCCCCAAAATTATCTTTCTTGCAGTTCATTTTCAAGCAGCTGTAATTGGGTGCACTGCAACTAAACAATTACCTAGGATCAATTCTGAGAAACAGTTCAGGAAAACACATGTATGCTTTACGAGATTCCACTGTGAGGAAAGTTTATTTTTACCTGATTTGTTAGACACCCATATAATTGCCTCTGAAGAGATGTGGCTCGTATTTCCTACTGCAATTGTTAGTGGAATCTGCCACAAGTAGCTGCAAGACAAAGGAGGGGGATCTAAGAACAAAAATATTGAACCAAGTCTTCTCACTCACAGCAATCAGGGATCACATCAAAGAAATCACAACACAATTTCAGTAGCAGTAAAGATTTTGATTCTAATAAGTCACTTTGATTTTAAGATGAATATGATAGTGGTAACAAACCAACGAAAAGGCGATTCATCTTAAAAAAAAAATACTGAATTAGAGTTTTCACAAGCTACAATACGAGAGACTTTTCCCACAAGGTTTCTAGTACAAGGTTTTTATAAAAGAGGAAAGAATGACCTCCCATAAAAATATTACCACCATTCATTCCTTCCTGAAAAAGAGAAACCCGAGGGGAAAATATGCTTTGGTTTAGATGGTCCGCTAAGTTTAAAAGCAACCTAAAAGCACTGCCATTTTTTTAGTGTAACTTCTTAATGTGTTACAATAGGCTTTCATTACTAGTAGATTATGACAGAAAGTTAATGGGCCTGTTCCTCAACTGACTTGCCCCTTCTGTTGTCATTTACACCTGTGCAAATTACCATTCAGATCTGGACACATGCAGCTGGCACAGGTGTAAGGGAGGGGAGAATCAAACCTCAGCATCATCACAGTGCACAAGCACGTCATTCATTGAATAAATGTCAGTAATTCATCTAAGATCTTCATAATGTTTTACCCTAAAGAGAAATTACTGCACACTGTATATCTTTTCTCAGGCGAGGGAAAGGATTCCTTTAGGATGCCATTATTATTACCCCTACTTTCACCCCCCCACAACCACCTCAAACACAAAATCCTTCCTCCAGCTTGGGAGAGTTATAAACGTTTCCCCTACACAGCCTCCCTCCAGGTGTGATTTTTAAATCAATTTAGTTAAACTGATGCAAATGTGTGTGGACCAGCACTTAATGTCCAAATCAGCTCCACAACCACCAGTATTTGTCACTTCAAAATTAGTTGGTGTTTAGAAGTTTTAAACTGCAACTATCACTCCTCTGAGATTTGCTCATTCAGAAGTTTGCCCCACTTAACTATATGCAATACTTAAATGTGTCACAACACCAATAAACATGCTTGCAAATGACTAATGGTCTGCCAGGGAACACATCTGTCATACAGTGCTGAAAGTTACATGCATCATGGAGTGCATAGCACTGCATTTCCTCAGTATGTATTCAGAGAGAAATGGTGGACTCCTAAAAAGGAATCTAAGGGCTTTTCTACAAGGTGGGGTAATGTGCACTGTGAGGGTCTGATTTTTAAAGTGCATTAATGTGTTGTGCATTAACTGGTCTGTGCAGACCCTGCTGGTGTGCTTTAACATACTGCTGTTTGAAACGGTATCATGTTAAAGTGCAGTAGGGGAGCAGTTCTCAACCAGGAGTCTGGGGCTCCTTGGGGGGGATGCAAGCAGGTTTCATGGGGTCTGCCAAGCAGAGCCAGTGTTAAGACTCGCTGGGGCCCAGGGTAGAAAGCTGAAGCCCCGTTGTGTGGGGCTGAAGCCTGGGGCTCCAAGCCCTGCCACCTGGGGCTGAAGACAAAGTCTGAGTTTTGTGGTGTGGGGCCCCCCTATGGTGTGGGGCCTCGGGCAATTTGAATCATAGAATATCAGGGTTGGAAGAGACCTCAGGAAGTCATCTAGTCCAAGCCCCTGCTCAAAGCAGGACCAACCCCAACTAAATCATCCCAGCCAGGGCTTTGTCAAGCCGGGCCTCAAAAACCTCTAAGGATGGAGGTTGCTTGCTACCACCTAGCACTGGCCCTGGCTTTTATATGCAGAAAAACAGTTGTTGTGGCACTGGTGGGCCATGGAGTTTTTATAGCATGTTGGGAGGCTAGGGGCCTCAGAAAGTAAAAGGTTGAGAACTTCGGCACTAGGGAACCTTTAGTGAGCACCAGCAGGGTCTACACAGACCAGTTAATGCACAACATGTTAGTACTCTGTAGAAATCACATCCCAAAGGATGAATTACCTCACTGTGTAGACAAGTCTTAAGTGACTTCTATTCCTCCACTATCTTCAGATGGCATCAATGTTACATGGATTATTTGATTCCTTTGCTTATTACAATCCAAATGCCTGATTCAGCAAATACTAATGCACATGAGTAGCTTTACACACTTGATTTCTCACATACATAAGTGTTTGCAGCATCCAAATTATCCAAATAAAAATAGGGGAGTACATCTGGGACAATAATACTCAAAACACAGCTATTCAATGGAGGAAGATACTTGGAAAGCAGCAATGTTGGAAGAGCTGTGAGTGACACTGGAAGGCAAACTAGATATGAACACACAGTGTATTGTGGCAGCAAAAAAACCAAATCAAAACAAAAAACAAGCCAGCATGATTTTGGGCTGTGCAGGTAATGGCATCATGCCACATAGCAGGGAAATGATAGTCCCTGGCTAGCAGCCAGATTCTGATATCCTTACTCATTTTGAATACAAACCTACTCTATGAGTGGTCCCATTGAAATTAATGAGAAAACTCATGCAATAAGGTGCTAGTCAGTATGAGTAAGGATATTAAAATCTGGCCTTAAATTACTCTGGGAAATACCAGACCTTTAAAAATAGAGTCAGTTTTGGATACCACAGTATGAAAAAGACATTGAAAACCTGGAGAGAATTCAGAGAAAAGCAGCAAAGCTATATGAGAGGCAAGACCCACTAATATATGAGAAAAGATGAAATATATTATATAAATATTGCTCTTGTAATAGCTCGCTCAATGTCAAGGCCCTGTGACAATAATAAATGGAAAATAGCAAAAGAAAAAAAGACTGTCACATACTAATTTGGCTGCCTTTTTAAAAATGTATTCTCAATATTTTGAGAGGAAATGTCATGTAATAGATATTAAACTGATTATACTTTTTGTATATAAATAGATTGAATATCCTGTGTTGTTTTATTCAAGTAAATGTTATGCTTTTACTCAAAGGTTTGGATAACAGCAAAGTACAAAAAAATCTCAGCAAAAATATTTAATAATATAGCTATTTTAGAGCTTTATTTTAATTTTTATGTCAAAAAACATTTTCGTGTTGATGCGGCTACACAGCAGATAGTCTTATAACTGAGACCGGTTATAACACTTGAAATTAATGAGTTCCATTCAAATACATGGGGCCAGAGAGCACTCTCTACAGAAAAACTCTTGGGGAAAAGGGTCATTCCTTTTGTACAGCATCGGTCCTCTCCTTTACTTGTCACGACAGACTCTCGGCTGGGGCCCCACAAAGTTTTGAGGGCAGGAAGGGGAGAAAAAGCAGGGACTCTGTTGAACTCCCTGTCTCTTCTCTAGTCAACCCACATATAGCCAAGCTGATGTGTGAGGAGATGTCTCCTCTGTGGCTCCTACTGAGGCAAAGGCAAAAGCAGCAGGGGGGATTCAGGCTGTGAGGATGTGGGCCAGAAGAGTGGCACACAGGCACAGCAATCTTGCAGAATGAATCTTATATCTGTGTACAGATCCTCAGAGGGCATGGGTTTTAGATCTCTCACACCTGCCTACTTCACAGGCCCTCCAAATCCCTTCTCCTTGAGGATTTGTTTCCCAGTACAGTGGTTCTCAACCAGAGGCACGTGTACCCCTGAGAGTACGCAGAGGTCTTCCAAGGGGTACAGCAACTCATCTAGAAATTTGCCTAGTTTTACAACAGGCTACATAAAAAGCACTGGCGAAGTCAGTATAAACTAAAATTTCATACTGACAATGACTTGTCAATATACTATACATTGAAATGTAAATACCAGATTTATATTCCTATTGATTTATTTTATAATGATATGGTAAAAATGAGAAAGTAAGCAATTTTTCAGTAATAGTGTGCTGTGACACTTTTGTATTTTTATGTCTGTTTTTGTAAGCAAGTAGTTTTAATGTGAGATGAAATTTGGGGGTATGCAAGACAAATCAGACTCTTGAAAGGGGTACAGTAGTCTGAAACGGTTGAGAGCCACTGTCCCGGTAGAACACGGTTTCTCCATAGGATTTGAACAGTGCGGATGTTAATGAGTAAAAGTCCGGTAAACTACCTTCTTCCATTCTCCAGCTTGTGCCATTCTATATGTACTATTACCCCTTAATTGGCATATATGCTTGGCTGCTTCCTCATTCCAGCTTTTTTCCCCTTTACTGTGCTATAAACCTGGGCCAGCTCTTCCACTGCTGCCCATGCATGGCAGTCATATGTGGTTTCTTCTCTCAAGGTTTCTCATCAACACCTTCTCTGAGGGACACACACTGTGTCTTCCAGCTGTTTGCCTTCACCTGTATAGTTGTAGGACCCTGGTGAATTCCCCTCTTCCTCTATTTTACCTAATTTTTGAGGGTTGAGAGGGTGAGAGGAGATGGAAGCTTCTCTCTTATTTTCCTCATTTGTTATGGCTTATGTGTGTATCTGGTGCAGAAAGGAATACTGCTCTCAGCTACCAATTCCAGTGAAAAATTGGAACCTGTCCTTGAAGACCAGGAGACTAGTCTGGAATGACTTAAAACAAGCCAGTTGGTTCTTCCACCCTCAACCATATGCCTGTAGGGACAGGACAGCTGTTAAGGCAGCATGCTCAGATCTGGGGGAAACGGAGCGTTATAGCTATCAAGCTATTCAGCTCACACATGATGCTGAAAAGCTTAAGCAGGACAAACACGTAGGTCCTCTTGGGTAAAAAGATGGTTATCTTCATAGCAGATCAGTAAAGTGTGGGGATTCTCAGGGCTATGAGAGGAATTTAAAGGAATCACCTGTGAGGATGAGGTAGAGATAAATTTGAAATTGGACTGGATGTGGGAAACACGTGATGGAACTGTAAAGTGCATAATGTCGCACATTCATGAATATCTTGAAGAGATGTTTGAAAAATGGGAATGCTATTGAGTGTTAATGCAAATAAACCCATTATTGGTACACTAGGCCATTATTCTTTGAAGTAGTTAAATTCAAGTTGTAGTTAAATTCACAATTAAAGGGAACGTACTGCCGCTTTGT